TTTTTTTCTGTTTTTGGTCTTTTTGAGACAGGGTTTCACTCTGCAGTTCAGGCTGGTCTCAAACTCAGTGATCCTCCTGCCTCAGCCTCCTGAGTTCTGGGATTACAGGCGTGTGCCACCATGCCCAGCTGAGTTTTCCTCTTTTCAATGGATCCACCAGATGGTTTTTGGATTCAGTCTTTCTGCCTTATCTACGGACTTTTTTAAAGGACTTTTTTTTTTTTAAATGGCACTACAGAGGTACCATACATACCTTTTTTTCCAACCACTTTAATGTCTTCTCTTTGCTGTACTTGTAATATTTCTTGTTGTCTATTTCTGGGTTAATTTAAACACACAAAAAACAATATACTGAATTAAAGAAACAAAAAGGAACTCAATGTTATATTATATATAAGCTAACAATTTAAAAGCATTTGGTAATAGTTAATATTCTTAAAAACCCCCAATTATAAACCTGAGAGCATATTTGAGACTTTAAAAAACCACCAGATAGCGTTTGGGTACCTCAGAAGTCTTCCAACCAAGTGAAAGAAAGGTTAAATCAAATTATGCAAACATCTCTATAGAAAAGGTAATCTTTAAGAGTAAGTAAATTAACATGGTAAGCAATCTTAATTTTTCTGAAAAATTTCAAGCTTACTTCAATGTGTTCAATGAAATATTTCCTTTCTAAATTAAAAGTGGAATTCTCAAGGGTAAAAAAATGAAACTCAAGGCAGATGCCCTTGAAGTTCACTGCAGATCATCAGGGGGAGAAATCGTGTTAACTCCTCAGTGCCGGCCTGGTGGGATTAGTGGAGTATAAAAGAACAGATATGTCTGTTTTGTAACATATTACCAATACAATCATGGCTGTGTCAGGGGAATTTAGATTTATGGTAGGCTCAACCTGGCTCTTTGTCGGGGATAAAAAGTCACTTCCTATAAATTATACTTCCTTTCCTCACAATCAACCCAGCTTTATATACCTTGTCATTAAACCAGGATTTCCTCTGTAACACTTTTCATTCATGGAGTTTTTCCTTCCTGTGCAATTAGCAAAGGCAGCCCTCCCACTCTGGCCTTCTTCCTGACCTTGCAGGAATGATCTTTATGACCACTGGAAGCCCTGAGGCCAATGCAAACTCACCACCTGTGAGCTATAGAGAGATGCTCTCTTCTCCTCTCTCCCCATCATGGGAAATGGGAATTGCTTATTGAGGGATAGTTTTCTGCAGCTTGTTAGGTGGCGTGTACGGGAGAGGGGCTAGAAGTTCCCAGCCTTGGTCTGTACGCATTTTACCCCTTTTGAGCCTATGGCTGTCAGCGTGATAGGCAAGATTAGTCAGGACACAGCGGGAGCTGGATCTCTGCACCCATTTCCAGAAGGTGTCACTGGAATAACAAGGAAGGACAGCTTCAGGCGATATGCTGTTAGAAGTGTGAGGATCTCTGCTCTCCTAGAGCCAGGACTCCAGGGCAAACAGCCCAGTTTCTCTGGATGTCCCACGCTATGCACAAATAAGGGGAATTTTAGGAGCACACAGCAGGCACTCAATAATTGTATGTTGCTGGATGGTTTCTGGATGCTCCACTCACCACCTGAGACAAAGACTCTCCCAGAAAACAGTGCCTGAGTCTCTCCTAAAAAAATTCTGTAGTCTCTGCTGTTCACTGCTCTCTGGCTACCTGCAAATTTCCTGAAAGAGCTAAAATCTGCCGGTTTTCCTTCCTAGCCCCCAATGTTCTAAGCCCCTTGGGTGGGTCTTCCCTGTTCCTCTTGGCAATGGTCTCATGTGGGGAACACAGCAAGCACTGCAGCTCATGCACACCCCAATATACACTGTGCCCTGGGGAAACCACCGCATGCTTAAAGCTCATTTCCTCCTACGTGAGGGGAAGGTTTCATCAGAGGTTTGAGTATGAAATGATCTAACCCATGCAAATGCTATACAATATAGCACCTGGCACACAGAAAACATTAGCTAAGAAAAATTAATGACAGGGATATTTTTTCATGATAGCACCAGAAACCAATGTTTATTTAGGTTTTTTATATTTTTCTCATTTCAGTTAAGATGAGTCTCAGGTAAAAACCATTATTTGCTCACATCTTAGGAGACTGGGTTTAAGTGCATCAAGTAAACTGTTCAAAATCCCAAGCAAGTAAGCAACATGACATGAAGAAAGACAGTTTTACTACTGACTCTTCAATCTGTATGCCTTTTATGCCTTGTCTTACAAAATCTACTAGGACTTCTACCACACTGGTGAATACATGCAGTAAGAGCTATTGTCCTTGTTTTTCTTAGGAGAACAGTACATTCAGTCTTTTACAGTGAAAATGATACAGAAATTTGCCCCAGGTACCCTTTGCCAGATTAAGGGAGTTCCTACTATTCCTAATTTGCTAAGAAATTATTTTATGGCTAAATTTTCTCAAATGCTATTCTGTTTTTATTGAAATGATTGTACAATTTTTCTTTTGCAATGCATAATAAATTTAAGAATTAATCTGATTTCCTAATGTTCAACCAGCTTTCCCATCCTGTAACAAACCTAACTTGGGTCTTATGTATTTGATTTTCTAGTATTTTGTTAAGGATTTTTCAGGGTATGATAGCAAGGATATAGTACTAGTTTATCCTTTGCAACAATTCTGATTATGCTATTGGGGTAAGTTTGGTTTTATAAAATTCCTTCCTCATCTATTTCCTGAAAGAGTTTGAACAAGTTAGTTCTTTATGTATTATTTTTCCCCTTAAGGTACAATAGAATTCATCAGTGAAGCCAGCTGGGCCTGGGGTTTTCCTTCTAGGAAGTTTTTAAATTATAAATTTATATCCACCTTACACAGTTCCTGGAAAGATGATCATTGTATCCCACAGTGCTACATAAGACTCAGTGTATAAACTGCAGCTCAATTTCAAAATTTATAGATTTCAGAAAGCAAGGTTTAACGTATTCATAAACGCCACAGACTGCCCATAATTATGAAAAATGCCACAGCATGTCATGTGTGTCTTAAATTTCATATTTGTGAGCATTAGTGAGTTAGACAATATATGCTGGAAGGGCTTTTTCCCTTATGTGTCTGGTGCCTATAAAACTGGCCTCAAACATCTGGAAAAATTGAGTTTACAAAATAAATATGGTGTAAGAGTAAGTCTGCAATTAAATAACACGTTCAGCAACTGGGTAATCAGTTCACAAACTTGAATTTCCCTGATGTATTGTTGAACAAACTGCCTGGAGCACATTTTCAAGTCAACTTCTCAATGTTTCCCATAACGAAGAAACTCCCATGGTCCCTTTTTCTCTAACCTCTGGGGTATAGATACTTGGCACCTGCACTTGGAGTATTTTAATCAGGTAAGCTTTCCTGGCTCTTCCCGTTAATTACATCAGACAGGCCAGTGCAGTTTTGGCTTGGAATATGAACAAGCAGAGTGTTACAGTCAAGGCAAAGTTCATGACCCTTTGTTTATTTGTCCTCTGAATGTGAGGTTCTTTGACAAGAAATGCGCTCAGAATCCCACAGCCAGCAAACAGAGACACAGCATTCCATCTGTAATAAAGCAGGCAAGGCTAAGGTCATGGCCACCACTGTCTGGGGCCCCAGTGACAGGCTGGGCTTATTCTGGCCCTTAGAAGCCCAGAGGAGTCTGTTCTTTCAAATCCAGCAGACTTGACCTGATCTATAAGGCCACAGACTTTCCAGCATGCATCTGGAGTTCAGTATCAAAATAGCTGGAATGGAATTTGCATATTTCAGGTTTTACTCTATCATGCAAATGCCTCTGAAAAGGATGGAAGTGCAAACAATCAGCTTTCTTCTTTGATTATTCTCCCTGTCATAGATATTACCTGCCTTATTTTTCTTACCTAAAAATCTAGAAATGACAGAGAATGGAAACAAACATTAATTTATAAATGGACAAAAATTTAAATTCAAATAAGCAGCCAGTCCTCCAAACAATCACCAAAAGATAATCTGTAGGGAACTATATACAGTGTCTGAAAAGTTGAGAAAGGCCTTTCAGGGATGAGAACTGTCTGGTCCTTAGGCTATTCCACTTCTGTCTCCTTTCCTGCCTCCTCCTTGTGCCACCTGGAGGGAAATTATTAAGAGGAGATATAGTATAGGCTTTAAATAAAAACCTCTCAATTCTATATATACAGAGACATTACCTATAAACTCTAGCAGAATATCTTGGAAGTATCATACAACTGCAAGAAGGAAGGGCAAGGGCCCTTCAAACACAAGTACAAATCCCGGTTCTACTTCATGTTCTGTGATGTTAGTCAAGTTACTACACCTCTTTGAGCCTCTGTTTCCTCTTTTCTAAAGTTGCAAGTCCGAGGAATAATGACAGGACATTACTGTAAGGGTTAGCTAATCATATATGTAAAATAATAAGCATGGTCATTCTTCTGTATCAAACTTCATGTCCTACACTTACTGTATCTTTTTTTGACATGCTCTATTAATCATTATAAAGCTCAATGTTGGGCATTCCCTGTGAATCTTCATGGAAAAAGATGTCCATCTTAGTATACTGTCCTTGAACACAGACCTTACATAAAGAAAACTATTTCATGTATTTACATTTTGGGTGAAAGGGCGAGGTAAATAATATAAAATTGCTTATACGAATTTTGATAAGCCTTTTTGAAGAAGGGCTGAGACATTTATTCCTTATTGTTTCCTTCTCAATGTTTTAAAATTGTATGACTTTGTTTTTAAACTGTCCATTATGTTAAATGTATAGGCTGCAATTCATTCAGAGAATCTGACTATGAACAATGTCATGTCTGTCAAACTATATTTTCTACTATGTGACACTGAATCTGCTGTACTTTGCTTGGGCTCCTACCATTTAAACATAAAGAAAACTTTGAGCCCTGGGATTTTAGAAACTTGAAAAATATGCAAAGGTAGATTAAATGGCTAAACTGAAAAGGGAAGTGCAGCTCTTTTAACCGGCAATGTTGAGAGGTAAAGGAGACTAGGACAGAGGTTCACACAACAACACTACAACTAGCCTGTCACCTGGTGTGCAAGCAGGAAGGACTGAGAGAGAAGTCCTTGCTCTCAGGTTGGGACTTGAAGTGAAAAAATAGGCAGAAGTAAAAACACTGTTTAATAATTGGGGTCTCTGGGTTTTGCTTTAAGGTGATTATTTTTATAATAGTGGGATTCTGGACATATGTTAACTGCATTTTTGACAAAACTTAAAAATTGACAAAACTTACAAAAATTAAATTGACAAAAATTAAAAATGCCTGTAATTATTCTCTATTACTTTAGCTTTCAAAAATGCTTATGGGTTATTTCATTTGTCACTCACAAAAAGTTTGCATCACCTGCCAAACTTGGCATCAGTAAATGTCTTCAGTGGAATCGCTTTGATAAAATCGTGACACCATACACCCCTCACATCCAAACTAGAGTCTCAAATGTGTCCAAGAATTAGTAGACCCCTCACATGTGAAATGCAACCAGCAAGGCTCTCATAAGCATACACTTCTTGGAATCACCACTTTCTTGGTCCCAGAAGAACCGTCACCGTTAGCCAAACCATCTGTGACCCCAAACAGTCATAATCTATTGGCCTGTTGTTCTCAACCCCACACTGTGTTTCCAGATAAAGCCTGAAACTACTTGGATGATTTTTCGAGAACATGGTGCTACGTTTGTCCAGTGTTTCTGACTTGTCAAATCACATTTACCCTCAGTGCCTCACTTCCTTTTCTCCTTTCTTTTTCTTCCTTTTCTCAAAATTCAAATGAATAATATCTGAAATTTACCTCCTTCTCCAGCTGCTAGTCTAGCCCATGCTCCCTCTCTCAAGAAGTCACTACACATCCTCTGGGTCCAGGCACAAACCCAAGAGCTATTCTAGATTCCTCTTTTTCCTTGACCACTATAGTCACTAATGCAGTTGGTTCCACCACTGAACTGCTTCCTTCCAGAACCATCTCCTAAGGGCAGGCTCCCATGCCCTTCCATCTAAATCACAGCAACGCCTGTGGACCTGGCTTTGGCCTCTCCAATGTATTCTCCATACTTAACATTGTCCTGATAAAAATTTTACAGACATGCTATCACTACCAGGTCAAACCCAGGTGCATATAAGGCCCCTCCCATGTGGACCCCTGCTTAGCATTTCTATCCCCTTCTTTACCAGCCTAAATTCTTTCCCAGCATCCTATACTTTAACTACCCTAAATTCCTTGGGATTCCTATGCATAATCATCTTTTCTACAAGTCCATGCCTTTTTCACACTTCTGCCCTGATGCGTTCTCTAACGCGCCACTTGGAGGGAATTTCTGTGTTAAAAAAAGCAAAAGATCCCCACCCAGCTGTGCTTGCCACTTAGTCCAGGTTGGTCCCGAAACTTCCCAGGAAATACAGGATTTACTTCTATTACCCCATCCTGCTATTTCCCTGCTTGTCATTTGCTGCCATCAGACACAAGGGACAATGCCTTACTTGTCCCTAAAACCTAGTGCTAGTGTTCAACGTGGTCCTCAGTAGGTGCTCAATAAATGCTCCTAGAATCAGCACCAGTAAAGTTTTCCTCAGACAAAGGACTAATATATAGACTATATAAAGAACTCAAAAAACTCAGACCTCCCCAAATTTAAAAAGACCCAGTGCAAAAAATGGGCATCTGAAATGAACAGACACCTCCAGAGGAAGAAGTAGAAACAGCAAATATATGGAAAGATGTTCAACATCACTGGTCATTTGACAGATGCAAATTAAAACAATGCTGAGATTCCATCTCACTCTAGAAAGAATGGCTATCATTAAGAAATCAACCAATAACAAATGCTGGTGGGATTGTGGGGAAAAAGGAACCCTTCACTGTTGGAGGGAGTGCAGACTGGTGCAAACACTGCAGAAATCAGTGTGGAGATCCCTCAAAAAACTAAAACTAGAGGTCTCATTTGACCCAGCTATTCTTCTTCTAGGTACCTTCTTGAAAGAATTAAAAGCATCATACCACGACATATGCACACCTACATTTATAGTAGCACAGTTTGTAATAGCAAAATCTTGGAAACAGCCTGAATGCCCATCAACTGATGGCTAGATGAAGAAGATGTGGGTTTTTCATAAATGGAGTACTACCTCAGCCCTGAAAAAGGATAAACTGGAGATGTTTCTAGCTAAATTGATGCACCTGAGATCATACTCAAGTGATATAAATTGGACACATGCTTAAATACTGAATTTTCTGATGTGAGAAACTGAAAGTGTAAATAAGGACCAAAATGTAGGGTAGATATTGGGAAATGGTAAGAAAGTGTTCAAAAGAGAATGGGAACAATGCAGGCGCAAAGGAGGAAGGAATGGACAAAGGAAAAAGAACAAAAGAAAAAAATGAAAACAAAGCTATTTCAAATAAAGAGGGAAGGAGCTGAAAGGAGGGAGCGGGAAAGCGGAAAAAAGCAGCAGCAAGATATATCCTGTACAGGTACGAATTCCCCTATATTATGCATATCTAAAATGCATCACTAAAAAAAAAAAAAGAGAGAGAGAGAGAAAAAAAATAAACTTTAGAGTCAGGGAGTCTTTAAGCGGCTACATTCTCAGACAAAGGCCCAACCTTTCTACTAACTATAGCCTGACTTCAAAGGTTGACATTACAAACCTTTTTCCTCTGTCACATGAGGAAGTGACTTCTCAAGTTCTGGAAGTTTCAGCAACAAGGTGCAATTTGGAAATATGTCATCCATCACAACTTGATCTAGGGGCTGAAATTTTCCCTGAGAAAACAAACAAACAAAAAACAGAACACAAGCATTTCAGTCAAGAAAATCACGCATAAAAATAAGAATTAAAAGACATACTACCTCAACTATCTTTCAATTTAACTCAGAGCCCCGTGTTCCATTTTAGGAACCTCCGAAGGATCTAGGACTGACCCTCAGCACCCTCCAGGAAGCTTTCGTGAACACTGGGCTTCCATGCAGCATGCTGTCCACCTCCAGGGTAGGTCACTGCCTGAAACAGTGGAACCAAGTTCTAGAAAAGCACAGGAAGCCATGGAACTTGCCAACATGGTAGAGACTGCCAAGGGCCGATCCAAACATTCAATATGGAGAGCCAGCTGAGGTCACAGAGCAGGAGTCCTGATGAACACAGCCATGACACGCCTAGACCAGGCCCAGAACACACACCTGCCTCCCTGTCCTCACTCTAGGGCTGAAGAAAGGAAAAAATCACAACAAAAAGAAAAATACCAAAAGTGTCAGAGCCGTCAGACAACGTTTCCAAGTTGAGACAATAAAAGAAAACAGAGGGGTAAGTGCAAACAAGACGCAGACAGTGAAATCAGGTGCAGCCAGGTAAGTAAGCTGCCAAAGGTCGATACACGCAGAGTCCATACACTGAGGTTTAGTGTTTCTTGACTTGTTTCAGGAGGAGGTAAAGTTTGTCTAAATGAAGATACTGGCCTGATTTAGGGAGGCCAATAAAAGAGGTATGGTTTTGCCAATGCCATACTTCGGCTTTTCTCTTCTAGTGGAGACAGAAAAACTGACCTACCAGTTTTCCTTCTGCAAATGGAGCTTTCTTTGCTCTTAAGAATGAAGTCTTTCCATTCGTTAGGTAGAACACATAATACCTTGTCTTGAATTCTGTTAGGTTAATGAATGGTAAGAAAAGCCTTGATTTAAATGTTCTCATCTTCTTCAAATCACACATTTCCCAAGTTTGTCTTTAGATTTCTACCTTAAATCCAGAGTTTTCCATGATCGAACATTTTAAATATTTTATTACTCTAGTATTCTTATTTGTAATCAGCTGCCACACAGATTTAATCTCATAATTATTGTCATTTTTTCCCTTTTTTGTGGTAGAGGGGCCTCATATAAGCTATGCAAGTACTCTACCACTGAGTTACATTCCCAGCCCTTTTTATACTGCATTTTTGAGATCGGGTCTTGCTGATTTGCCCAGCGTGGCCTTGAACTTGAGACTCTACCCTCAGCCTCCCAAACAGGGAGATTAATAGGCATGGCTCATTCTTCTTTTCCTTACTACACATACATGAAAAGGAGATGCACAAAGAACGTTTTGAATATAAAGTTAACTGTTGGAATAACTGCAGGGAAGAGTTTTACAGTATTTATGAATGTTAAAAAAAGATGTCTGTTAAAAAAGAACAGGTCAAATTTCAAAAGAATGTACAAACATACTTTTAACTAAATAAAAATGACTGTGACTAAAAGGTAGAAGAGGAAATACCTAAACATCTCATGTGTTACTTTAAAGGACATTTCTGGAACTTGAGAAAAGAAGATGGCTTAAAACAAAGCCAACCACGGCCCTGAGCAGCATCTCTGCTTCATGCTGTCTTTGTCAACCTGAACTTGCCACAGCATCTAGAGGCCCCGAAGGGCCAGAATGAGGTGAGGGTTAATCCACTTGGGTTACAATCCTGATGGAAGGGGAAGAAACACTACCAAAAGAAGGGCAATTTTAAATACGCTGATCCATGTACGGAGGCTGGCTGGTGTCCTCCCTGTGAATTTATATCAGAAAACACCTCAGATGAAAGCCTATCGAAGTTTTTAACTGCTTTTCTGAATTCTTCCAGGGCTTCCTGGTGTATCCATTTTCCTACAAATGACTTTGTGGCACGGTATAGTACTCCACTGTATATGAATATCACATTTTCTTTATCCATTCATCTATTTATGAACACATAAGCCACTTTCAAGGTTTGGCTATTATAAGTTGTGCTACTATAAACATGGGTATGCACATTTCACTGTAATATCACGTCCTTAACTATTTCCATAGTGGATGTACTAGTTTACATTCACACCAACAATGTAGAAGGGTTTCTTTCTCCCCACAGCCACGCTAGCATTTGTTATTATGCAATTTAAAATAGCCACTCTTTCTGGAGTTAAGATGGCATCTCAGTATTGTTTTAATTTGCATTTCTCTAATGGCCAGAGATGTTGAACATTTTTAAAGTGCATTTACTAGTCATCTGTGTCTATTCATTTCAGTTACCCATTTTTTGATTGTTTTATTTTGGGGGGGTCTGATTGTTTTGAACTCTTTATATACTGTACATATTAGCCAAGGAATAGCTGGCAAATTTTTTCACCATTGTGTAGGTTGTCCAGTCACTATGTTGTTTCCTTTGCTGTACAGAAGCTTTTAATTTGATATGATCCCATTTCTTGATCTTGATGTTCTTACATAATAGGGGTTCTGTTCAGAAAGTTCTTGCCTACATCTGTCTTCAAGAGTTTTACCTATTTTAACTCCCAGCAGGCTGCTTTTTTGTTTTAATATTTAGATCTTTAATCCATTTTTAGTTTAGTATGTGCTGAAAGATCTTCCGCATGTGGAGAGACAGTTTTCCCAGCACCATTTATCAGAGGTATAGTTTTGGCCCTTTCATCAAAGATCAGATGGCTAAATATGCGTAGGGTTGTTTCTGCATCCTCTAATCTGTCCCACTGTTCCACATGTCTGTTTTTGTACTACAATGATACTGTTTTTACCACTGTAGCTGTGTAATGTAACTTGAAATCTGGGATTGTGATGTTTCCTACTTTGTTCTTGCTACCTAGGGTTACTTTTGCTGTTTTGGGCTTCTCATTCCATATGAATTATTTTCCCTATTTGTATGAGGAATGTTGGTGGTATTTTGATTGGGACTGTACTAAGTCTATATACCAGGTATGAAAGTATGACCATTTTGACAATATTTGTTCTGCCTATCCCTGAACAGGTGGTATCGTTCCTTTTTCCGCTGGCCTCCTTGATTTCCTTTTTTAGAGTACTACTGTTTGGTTAATTCCTAACTTTTTTTTTTTTGATGCCAGTGTGAATGGTATTGTTTTCCTAATTTCTTTCTTGGTGAGTTCATTATTCATATACAGGAATGCTACTGATTTGGTGATTTTATACACTGCCACCCTGCTAAACTTGACTACTAATTCTAGCAGTCTGCTGGTGGATTTTTTTGGATCTTCCATGTAAAGAATCATGTTATCTGGAAATAATGGTAATTTTACTTATTGACTGCCAATCTGGTAGTGCTTGATTGCCATGGAGACTAAGGGGAGGTGTGTGGGTAGGACTCTGCAAGAATGATTTAATGCCTTTCTACTGACAGTGAGTTCTCTGGCTCTCAGGACTGGCTTACTTACTCTAAGAACAGGTCGTTATACAGCAAGTCTGCCCCCTGTGTTCTCTCTTCTACATGTGCTGCTTAACCTCATATTTTCCACTATGAGTTTAGGCAATATGAGGACCTTGCTGGTGCCATGCCTTTGGACTTCCCAGCCTCCAGAGACACCATTTCCTTATGAATTAGTCTCAGAGGTTCTATTATAGCAACGGAAAATAAACTAAAACATTAACAGTGGGGCGTGTGTGTGTGCATGCACGTGTGTGTGTGTGTGTGTGTGTGTGTGTGTAACATGAAATGTGTTAACATCTAAAAGATCTACATAACTCAGTGACCAATATTTTTCAAATAACCAATGCATGATATTACAACATCATACAGGGGTAAAAACTGTCCATTATAGATACAAGATAGATCAAGGGATTTTAATGTAACTGATCATAGAAGTTCACTGACAAAGTTTCAGATTCCACTTTGCAACGTATCTTTAAGAAACAACTCCTTGCTGATTTCTGAAGTAGTATCAGTGAATGCCCATAATTATCCAAAAAGGCTATTATACTATTTCTCCCTTTTCAGACTAGGAAGAAGCCACATATTCTTCATATATTTCCACCAAAACAACGTATGGGGACAGACTGGATGCACAACCAGATATGAGAATCCAGTTGTCATCTACGAAGTCTGACAGTAATAGATTTGCAAGTATGTGAAAAAAAAAAATGCGGCACACACCATTAAATTTTGTTGTTTATTTCATTAAAAATGTGTTATTTATGTTAACATATAATGAATAGCCTTATAATTTTAAATTTCTCAGTTTTAGTTTCTAACATAGTAAATATTGATAGAATGCACAGGAGCATGAGCTGTTTAGAATCTTAAATAATTTTAAGTGTAAAGCTATCATGAGACCAATATGTCTCAGAATCACTGGCTGAAAATATTATTATTTATACACTCTCTTTTATTTTTACTACAAAGGTAAATTTTGTCTATCTGAGATTACTTAAGTCTCAACTATAACTTTTTAATTAATGAGCCTTTACTAGACATGCCCTAGTTTACATAATTCAGTCTCTCAGAAAAGAAAGTAAGTCTTCTTTCTTTTCCTAAGGCCTGTGGCCAATTCTTTGACATTTCACATAAGAGCACTTAATGACGGAAGTTTTCATTCTTAGGCTTTGTCAACTATCAGGGTGCATGGCATGGTGAGGTGGGCAGTCCAGAGGTCACAGGCGATCCAGGGGCCATGGCCAAGCTAGTGTTAAGCTGGATCAAGATTATGGTGCTGTTTCTCAGGCCTACGTGTGGTGCTCTGACTCAGACTTGCACCGACCGTACACATTTTTTACAATAATTAAGTTAAAGAGGAAGTGTGGAAATCCACATTTGGACCTTCAAAAGGAGAAAAGAGAAATAAAGCAAAACAATCTATTCTGCTCCCTCAGTGTAATTGCCCCAAACTAGGAAGCTCACCTCTTTGCCAGCTTTTATGAGGTAGTGCAGGAGCAGAAACAGAGGGTCCATGGGTGTGGCAAAGTGAAGGAGACCTCCTGCAGATTAAAGAACAAAGAGAACTGCATGTCTTAGAAAGACAACTTGGTCAATTTCATTTCAATCTCAATGTGAGAACCATCTGTTGAAAAAACATACCAATCCCAGTTCAGAAGCTTCTTCTCACCTATGAAATCTACCCACTCAGTAGCATATGTAGGCATTTGTTGTACTTTCTCATAGGTTGACAAGTAGCACGCAATGCTTTAATTGAAATGTTCTCATTTTCTTTCATATCAGATTCCCTAGTCTAAATGTGTTTAGATTGCTAACTTAATCTAGATTCTTTCATGATCAACTAGTATCACTCAAAAGGCAAAATGTGTTCCATGGGATTTTACTCAAAATGCCTGTGTGAGGAGGAGAGTACAGACACTAAAATAAAATTTTAAATTTGCTTTTCCTCTTCAGAAATCATTTTTATAGATCCCCTCTCCTCCTCCCTCCCACTGTGGAGGAAGCACAGGTGAACACGAGCTCAAAGTAGCTACAAAAAATGTAATTTTCTATTGTAAACTTAAATTTCATTGTGTGCAGAAAAAAATTTAAGGAAGTAATCTTATACTATGACAACATTTGAATACTTCAAATAAACAGAAGTTCAAGAAAATATCTGCAGTTCTAAACTTATTTTATAGGAAGCATCCATTATATGAAAAAAATTAGGAACAAGTTTCTAGGTCTAACAATAATATCCCTGTAACTAGTTGTCAAAATAGCTCTTTCTTTTGGATTAAGTTGAAAAAGAAGACAACAGTGGAAAAAAAATAAAAGAAAGGAGATATCTTTTCTATGAACCTAAAACTGCTGTAAAAAATACAGTCTATTAAAAAAAGGAAGCTGGTACAAATGAAGACCAGAACAGGTTTGATTAACATGTTCCTGCCAGCTTGAATCCCGGTGCATGTGCCTGACTATCCCATCGGGCAATTTGAGCCACCAGTAGTACCTGCATGATTTCCCATCAGGCAGCATGGGACAGTCCCATCAAGTGGTACAAGTGCATGTGGGATAGCCATGCATGTACAGCTCTACTGTGAACATGTTAATCGCTTCCTTCCAACTTGGGATATTTCTGTGTCTATTAGCTACACCATCTGGAAGTATGCCATACTTGATTTAATATATCTTGTATATTGGTAAATGAATAAACATAAAGACAATAAAAGTAATACTTTTCATCAATCAGGCTATACACAAATTACTACTGCATCCTGGTAGCTAAAAACTTTTCAGTTTCTTATGCACATAGGTACAGGTGGCAGGGTGTGTGTACATGTTCATACGGAGGTGTGGAAGTGCTATACAAGAGTGATAAAAAAAACCTAGTTATTTAAATTAGAAAAAGAAAATGTATTAAGTAAAAGACACACTGCCATTCATCTCTCTCAAAATACTTCTTTCTTTCAAACATACTTATTTCATTCTTGCTACTTTCAGAAGCAGTTCTGGAAGTTCCCTTTCGCGTCTTTGTGAGGTATGATAAAAGAAAGAATGGTGGATACTGACTCTGAGTGCTGTCCAAAGGAAAGGCAGACTCAGAGAAACACTACAGTGTATCTGCACCCACCTTCTTCACTGGATCTGGTACCATGTAGCTTATGGCTCTTCCCCAAAGCCAAAATGACCATGAAAGGTAAATGTTTTAAATTTATTTAAGACCTCAAGGGGGCCATGAAAGCACAAAAAGACACTCATGAAAAAGGACTTCCAGAACTGCTTCAAACTCTAGTAGGAATGATGAGATAAGTGTGATGGCTTTTTTGAGGGGGATTACTACCAATGTGTCTTTTACTGTAATAAATTTTTTTAAAATTTAAACACACTGTAGATTTCCATACATATACAATGGCACTGTATATATATATGGCGAAATATTTAAGTATTTTTAAAATGCTGGCATAGCCTAATCTACTTAGAAGCTGTGTCAGTATCCAGTTTCAAGAAATTTGTTAAAAACATGAAGCTGATAAGATAGTGAGAACAAAATAAAAGGTAACAGGGAGAAGGAGGATAAATCTTTTTCAAATGGGAAGGGGATCAAGACACTGAGGCAATGAAGGAAAAGGAACACAAAAAAGAATTGAGATGTGTTATACACATGTGCCAACTTCCCACAAGGAATGTAATCATTATGTAATGAGAACATGTACTAACAAAAAACAAAAATTGAAAAAAAAAAAAAGAAAAAATAATGAAGATCCTCAAAAGAAAGAATTTTTAGTTAACACAATGTTTCCCTGCGGTAGGAAGGTAACCTAACTTCTGCCTGCACATGTGTTAGCATTTTAGGAGACAAGTCAGAGTCATTAGTTTAAAACATCCTACAATCTCAATTAGGTAATGACATAGCGTTCAAATGATCTTTGCCTTCTCCTTGGTTAAACTGTATCCTGCTGCCACTGCCAAGAGAGCTGCACCACTGACCACACTCCACGCCAGGTTCATGATCCCATAACCCCAGCTGTGAACGACAGAAAAGCTAAAGTATGTGTTTAGTTAATGAGAATATATACACTTGTCACTTACCCGATTGAACTGATTCATTTATAAACCAGGAATGGTGTTTTTCCTTGAAAACTTTGATTTCAAACAGCTGCTTTAAACACATACTGAACAAGTAAATGGCTCCTTCCCCTGCAAGACAAATCTGTTTTTTATTTTTAAGTTTTCTCACACACACACTCACACACATCAAAAGATTACCCAACAGTTCTGAGGCATGTTCCTAATATGAACATAAACATGCACAGATATACTCTATACAAACTCCAAGGAAAGCTTACGGCTATTATACAGAGATGCTTATTTTCCAGCTCTGTGATCTTCACTGAACTTAAACCAAAAAGTAAAAAAGTTCAAGTCATTGATCATAACTGCTACAAAGAGTCTCACTGCATCAGATCAAGAGGGAAAAACTACCAAAACCTAACAGTTCAGCCAGGTGGTCTGAGCTGGCGAAGGGGACCTGGCTCTGAGGCAGCATGTGGCTGTCTACACAGAGACCGAACAGGGCCCAAACCCTCTGTCCCCACAAGCCATTTACGTGAGAAAGGCAAGGACATACTTCAAACCATAAGAAGGAGTACAGCCCTACGCAACTGGATGGTTTTCTCTGTTTCTTTCTTTTATTAAAAAGGGGGAGGGATAGGAGAGGGTGAAGCCTGTGAACATGTAGATGTTTTATCCCCTCAACTCATGAAAAAAATGTTTTTACAACTATAGCACAACGTCTGGAATCAAGGATCCTGAGTTCGAATCTGTCTTCAACTCATACTGGGCATACACCCTTGGGGATATGACACGGAACCTTTTTTGTACCTCTGCTTCCCCATCTGTTAAATGGAGCAATATTGAGTCTACCTCACGGGTTTTTTGTAAGGACTGAAAAAACAGAACACATGTACGTTTCCTAAGACAGTACTGGGCACATACTGTACTATGTGCTCACCAGATGTCAGCCTTTATTCTTCACCGCCAGTGTAGCTCCTTGGTTGTCTACAGGCATTTAGTGAAAACAAATTTTAGAAGGCTGACTTTCTTTTACACTTGTACTTTTGTTAAATACTTTAGAACTTTTACTGCTACCTAAAATTTCTCAAAGAAATATTTCTCACCTCAATTTAGGCTTCTGTATAACTAGGAGTTCTAAACAATACAGCTGACCAATTATGTGCATTTTCCATTTGAGGAAAAGATCACTGGAAGAAGTATGAATGTTTTCATTCCTCTCCCACTGTTTCTACGTATGTGCCTCTCCAGCAAGATACTGCCTTTCAGTGCTCCATCACTTCCACTACTCAGTATTGTAGTCACCGGGAGATGCTCCCGTCTGCTTAGTACCGGGTGTCTATTCAAAACTACAAATTAATAGAAAACAATGCATACAGATAAATTATACCACGCAGGTCACTACGTAGAATATATTTTAACATTTCTGCCTAAAAAAATTAGAAGATAAAGCTGAAAGTGACTATAAAGTTAATATTGTTTTCTAATAAAATATGAATCTCTTCAATATACAATGCTTTTAACAACAAAAAAAGTCACCTTCTGACACATACTATTTTTTGGTCAGTACAAAATGAGGATAAGTACAGCTAAAAATGAAAGTATTCTAAATCTTAACATGTCAAGTCAAAGCATTCTGGTTTTTCACTCTGGTTATTTACCTTACTTTATAACATAAAATGCATATAAATGGGGGCTAATGTTGGATAACCACTTTAAGAAATGTTGGTATAAGAAAGCCAAAGAAAATTAATCTGTTTTCAGAAAGAATTTAAACACGTTACTTTTTGTTGTAGTTGTTTTGCCAACATTTCTGGTGACTGAAAAGTTTCATGGATTAAAAATTACCAGAAACTTTAAAAATGTTTAGGTCAAATAAATTATCTGGGAAAACTAGTAATGTCACCAGCTTGCTTTTGTCACCTCATGATGCCATTTTAACTTTAAAAGCTACTGGAAAGAAGACCCAGTGGCAGATAAGTACATACACTGACCACAACGTCTAAAAACATTCAAGTTTTCATCATCAGGGAAGGGAAAAGGAGACAGGGAGGGAAGGCGAGGAGGGAAGGGAAGGGGGCTTACCTGAGCATGGGTTAGCCAATCTTATAAACATTAGACCACTTTTCGTCTTCTTTGAAGCATCTTTTAAATATTCTGAAAAGAAATAGTGAATTTGCAAAATTAAGAGACATTTGTTTTGTTGCTCATTTTATTTTATCCTTTTTCCTAAAAAATTTTAACTCAATTTGTCCCTTATAAGCTATGTGATACTGGGTAAATACCAATTTCTCTGTATGCTGGAGTAGGATTTTAGGAAGAGTTAGTTTACTTCCTTGAGAAGTGATGGGGAACAAGATTCTAGAGTTAGATGACCTGGGTTATATAATTTTTATCACTTCGGGCGAGGGCCTTAATCATCTATCTCAATGGCTATCTATAAGGCGATATACTTACCTTTTAAAGAATTAAACCAGTTTATCTGTTGAAAGTATTTACCATACTCAAATAGAAATTTCAAATAAATGATAGCTATTAACACTATTATCATGAAGTGGGACATTGTAAAAATCATAAAAATTTATTGGACATTCATGTATTTTACCTCTAACTCTTTATTAACCATATCTTTGCCCATTTTCTAGTATTCACCTTTTTGTTCTTGATAGTTTTACTACTTTATGAGAAGTCTTTACATAGTAACAATTATTTTGTCAAACAGAAGATATAAAATCTTTACATAATTATATAATTTTTTCCATTATGTTTGTTTGAGTCCTTTATGTCAGACTTTCTTTTCTTCCAAAACATATGAATTACCTATATTTTCTTCTAATATTTTATAATTATGTCTTTAACCAAGGATTATATCTACCCAAATATATGTATATATGTATATGTGATATATATGTATATATAAATATATATTTAATAATTATATTTTATATATATTTATATCAAATCTAACTTTAATTTTCTTCAGCAAGTTGTGCTAATTGTACCAATACCACCTGCTGAACAATTCATCACTGAAATTATAGTATCATTTTTATGCTCCATATTAAGATACACTTATGAGTCTGTTCTGTTTTGACCCTCTAATCTATATTAGCACCAGCATCTCAAAATTACTATGGATTTATTTTACTCTGTAGTAAGGCAAGTCCCCTCATTATGTTTCTTCTACATTATTTGATTGTCAATGTTTTAATCATACAGATTAAAGCACAAAGACCATGAAAATTTTACTGATAAATTCTTTCATATATTTGAGTGGCACATCCATAGAACATTTTTAGAGCCCTTCCTTGAAAGAAAGACAGAGGTTCTGGTAGAGCACAGCAGCAATATCTAGAAGAGCAAAACAGAAAGTTTTGGAGAAGGACAGGAGCTGTTATTTTATTTGATATGATCTCCACTCCCTTCACTCTACTGCAGATTTATATACACTAAAAAGTAGCAAATATATTAAGAAATTTGTTTAGCCACAAATGGTTGTAACTTTTTTCTTAAATTAATTGTGATATTAAATACATAAAGAAAAAGACAACAACAATTTGGAGATGTCTACTTTCAAATAAGATGGGTGAGCAGGAATTCAATTTACCTTCCCACCTGAAATAACCTAGAACAAAACACCAGACAAAATGCATGAAACCACTATTCTCAAACCACTATTCACCAAGCCATGCAAGACCGTGATTCCCGAGATATGGGGAACAAACTAGGTAAGCCCGAGGACTGCCTTGGTTTATTGGCTCAAGAAGGTTTTCAGGTCATGGTGTGGAGAAAGAGAAGCCAGGTGATGCCTGGCAGAATCCCTGAATTGACACGTGGAGTTGATAGTTCCAAAAACACCAAGGTGGCTAGAGTAGACAGGTCAGCTCACAGAACAGAAGGTTAAAATGGAAGAAAACCCCAGAGACCAGCAGTGGGTCCTACTTGAGCGCTCAACAGAGTACTGATCAGTACACACATGTGATGAAATTACCCAAGGACCACAGAGAGTGCTTCTGAACAGAAACTACCTCATCCTCACTCAGGGCTCTGAACTGTGCCTACTCGTAGTCTGCATCATTCATAGGGCTGAGGAAGAGCACTCAAAAGGGTTTTTCTTCAGCAGTAGGAAACAGGCCTAGGCTAAATAAATGTTGCTCCAGTTTCACCAAACTAATTTTAAAAGAAGGACCTAAAAGATAAAACTCTTTCCAAGGAGCTCATTTTACTCTTAAGAGCTCTAATATTTATAGAAATAAAATATATTCATCACCCAAAAAGGTATAACTCATAATGCCTAGCATCTAATCAAATACTACGAGGCATTCAAAGAAGTAGACAAACATGAGCCCTTTATGACAAAAAAAATCAATACTGAAAGAGGAGCATCATCTATGAAATCTTAGAAATAGGCAAAAGCACTAAAACTAGCATTCTGAGTACAGATAATGAAGATTTGTTTTAAAATACCTAACGGGCATGTAGTGCATACCCATAATACCAATACTCTAGTACTCTGGAGGGTGAGGTAGGAAGATTTCAAGTTGAGCCCAGTCTGGGCAATGTAGTGACTGAGTGAGATCCTGTCTCAAAAAAAAAGAGACTAAGGATGTCAGCAAAAGCCCTGAGTTTAATCGCTTATATCATGCACATGTGTACATGTGCACACGCACACATTAAAAAGACCTAAACTGAACGTCTAGAGACAAAAAATATACCAGATGGGAGTAATAACAGAAGAAAAAATTAATGAATTTGAAGATACAGTAATTAGAAATTCTCTGAAATGAGAACAGAGAAAACCTAGAGTATCAGTGAACCATAGGACAATGTCAAGCACCCTAATATATGTGTAACTAAAGTTTCCAAAAGAAAGGAAAAAAACAAAAATACTTTAAGTATGTATGAAATATTTCTAAATTTGATGGAAACTATAAGCCCACATATCCAAGAAGCTTCATATTTCCTAAGTATGTATGTGCACCCATACGCATGCACACACACATGAAAAAAAACCCGTACATCATAATTAATAATTCAAAAGCAGGAATAAAAAGAAAAATCATAAAAGCAGCCAGAAGGGAGAAAAAAGACACATTATATACAATGGACCAAAACTAAGAATGACAGCAAATTTCTTGTGAAAACAATGCAAGCAACAAGACAATGGAAAAACATCTGCAAAGTACTAAAAGCAAATGCCATATCCTTGAGAAACTGGGAAAAAAGGAAGCTGAAAGTAGGTTTTTTTCACATACACAAGAGCAAAAAAGAAATAATCAGCAACATACTCACACTACAAAGAATGCCAATAGAAGTCCTTCAGACTGAAGGAATTTAATACCAGAAGAAAAGATCAATCTAAACAAAGGAACTGGGAACACAGGTAACAGTAACTGCAGTAAAGAAATAAGAGGTTCTTTTATTATTTAACTGTTTAAGTACTATTGACTGTTTAAATGTAACAATTGAGTGCGGAATTTATAATGTACATACACAGATAACGCATGACAGCTATAGCATGAAGCCAGGAGGGGAGACATTTGAGGATACTATTCTCAGTTTCTTATACTATATGCCAAGAGATGTAGTATCACTTGAAGCTAGATGTGATCATTTAAATATGTGTACAATAAACTATAAGGCAGTCACTAAAACTGCACAACAAAAATTGTTGTCACTAATAAGAGAACAAAGGAGAGAAAAACAGAATCATTAAAAAAATGTTCACTTTATCCACAAGTAAACAGAATAAAAGAGGCACAAGGACAAGATAAATAGTAAGTAAATAGCGATGCAAACTGTATCAATAATCACACTCAAAACATCCCAACAAATACAGAAATTATCAAATTGGATACAAACGCCAACTAAAAACCATATACTGCCTATAAGAAACACATTTTAGATATAAAGATAGGTAGAATAGTAGTTTAACAAAAGATACATTGTGTTTATCCTGAGAATACTAAACAAAAGAAAGATTAAGAAGCTCTATTAATAACAAAGATAAAAATTACCAGCAGGGATAAAAATTACCAGGCCATTTTATAATGACAGATATGTCAATTCTAAAAGGATCTAACACTCCTAAATTTGTGCACCAAATACAAAGCTTCAGAAATACATGAAGCAAAAACTGTCTGGACCCACTGTGCCGTCCCTCAGCTTTGGCTGCCACTGATCTATAATTTTGCAGTTTTGAGAACACTATATGAAGGGAATCATCCGGATTCAGTTTTAAGCATCTTTTAAGACTTTCCTTTCTGCAAAGGAAGTTTGAAGGATAAAGCTTAGCATGGTTAAAAAAGTTTTCACAAAATACAAAGTGGTAGTTTTCCCTCTTTTGCCCCCTCTGCTATTTCTCACTTCCCCAACACCACAAATCTTCATATATCTCAAGGCCTAGAAAAAAGTGATCTCATTCTATGTCAGCGATATACCGCTTTGTCATACTACAATAGTAGTTCTTTCAATTTTAACTTGATGAATTATTAGTGATTTTTTGTTTTGTTTTTTGAGGAAGGGTTTCACTAAGAAGTTCAGGCTGGCCTTGAACTCACTAAGTACCCCAGCCTGGCCTAAAACTCTTGGTGATCGTCTTGCCTCAGCCTGCCCAGTGCTGGGATTACAGTGCAGGCATGCATCACCACACCTGGCTTATTTCTTTTTTTTTCCTAAGGAAAAGTTTGGATCTAGTGATCCTTATACATTCTACTTCAGCTTTCCCATTCCTCCAGAGTCTAAAATAATTAAAATTTTAAATTCCAAATATCAAAAAATGTATTTCTAATAACTATCCAAGGGAAGTACTGTTTTTATTTTTCCCACAAAGACCAGTAAATCCAGAGGATTAGCTATAGCCTAAAATGTCAAGCTATAAGAATGTTTAGAATTATTAACTTCAAATCAATACTGACATTAATGGGGAATACTGCAAATGCCAGTGTTCTCTGAAATACGATTTCAGGACATACGAATGTAGGTAACATTAAAATGTCACGTGGTGGGGGAAAAACAGGCTTCTTCACATTATACAGACAACTTCCTCTTGGACTGAATCTTTCAACACACACATATCCAAGTGAGACTCTGTGCTCTGGTTGTTTTGCCTCTTTTCACTGAGGAACATATTTCATATTTAGTGGCTCCTGTCTACT